TTATTTTGTAGTCTTCAAATTATTTAAAGGTAATTCTGATGGATTTGAGAGAAATATCATAAAAAGAAAATGGAAAATTTAAGTAAACAACAAGCTAACATGAGCTAACATGTTTTACTTTTTATATTAGTAGTATTGATCACATATTTGCATACAAATTGATTTCTATTGTGGGTACAACCCCCCCCCCCAAACAACAACAACAACAACAAAAACAACAATAACAACAACAATTCTGTCATGTTTGGTCACATTTTCTAAGAGCCACTGTAGAGGGACCGAAGAGCCACATGTGGCCCCAGAACCGCAGGTTGCAGACCCCTGATATAGGCTAACAGCTCATGTAGAAACAACGCAGTTGAGAAACACACACACGTTTCCTAAATCAGTTATACTCTGATAAAAGGTTAAACAATACATATAATTTTTGTCCCCCATTTGTGGCTCCCCCTCGATGGACGACACCCTCAGCATWTGCCTACACTGCCTACACCAGGGGCACTGTCTTCACAGGATGATTAGAAGTTTCTAAGCAGAAGATAAGGCAGCAGCAGGTGATGAATGAATGATAATGAGCTTAGGGCAGAGGTCAGTTAGTGTTTACCTTCTGACTGTCAGAAATGATGGCTGCAGTCAGCACAGAGCCAGGCCCACCCCTCAGGCTTCTTTCTCTTGTTTTTCTCAAACCAGCCGGACCAAAACTTCCTCAATATCCCAGTGTTTTCACCTTTAGACCCAGCTTCTTTTCGGGCCACTTACAGACAAAACAGAACCATTGTAGACATTCCTGTGAAACTGGAAAAGTGGCCTATTGGCTGCAGGCACCACCGGGGTTTGGGAAGGGGAGGAGGCTGCTGATGACCAACGAAGTTTGGGGGAGTGACAGAGGAAGAGGGGGGCAGAAGTTGGGCTGGTTCGGTGTAATAAGTAGTTCTGACTCAGCTGGGTCGACACAGCTCGCTGTCTGAGAATCGGAACCACAGTCTCGTTGTTCTGCTCAGACATCATGGCACCTGCCCTGCGGGTCACAGCGCTGCTGGCTGCAGCTCTGCTGCTGACAACTGCGACATCAGCCGACATCAGTGAGACGTGAGTGGTTCTGTTTGGTTCTGTTTGGTTCTGTTTGGTTCTGTTCGGGCTGGGACTATCACAGCAACCTCCTGCACGTGACACCGTCAGGTCAAACTTTTTGTGTTGATCTCAAACACTCACACAGGTGTGTGTTTGTGTGGAACAGTTAGTTC